TTACATTTAGCTGCTTCTTACAACTAGAATTTTAGGTTATTGTATTGCTCTTACAGTTATGAAGCCTATTAACATAAGTTCTTGTACTGTCTTTGCAGCCACAAAGCTTATATAAGAACATAATACTCTTTTCTTAATACTGAATAGATAGAGAAGATAACAAAGCCAGCCCTAATTACTAGGTGTGCAATAGTACAGAAAGATAAACAATTTCTCATCTAAAACTTGATTCTAAATAACTCTCTTTAACTGATTGTTAATCCTTTTTGTCTATGATACTCATACAAACCTTATAACATTTCTTTAGTCTTAATCAATAATTACTACTTATTTACAATTCATATATAACCAAAATAAAGCTATTTATATATTATCTTGATACTAATCTTGAATCAACAAGATACTAAATAAATTTATTAAACATAAAACAATGCATATTATATGCATATGATTTGTGTCTAAAGTTATCTGATCTCACAATAATGATCACTTCATTACTTCATTGACAAGCTTTTCAGTAACCTAATCTGATCTAATATTAATGTATATAATTAAGTAATCTGATTTTCAATTAATTATGTAATCTCACATGTTCAATTGATTATTATAATAATTATTTCTTACTTTTATTTTAATACAAAAAAACATATAAATAGACTATTGGAGTTAAATTGTACTAATAATTCTATAAGCTCTCTCAAAATAATAACTACAATATAAATATAAATATATAAATATTTAACCAAACTATGAAATTCTATTATATATAACATTATATATCAGTAAAATTCTTACAATGCAAGGTACTTATTGCTAACTCTTTTTACATAACTCAAGTGCCTAGTTTGTGAGTAAAATTTGTTTATAATGATAAAGTTGTTAATAGAATTCACAAATATTACCTTTATAAGTTTGGCAATAATTTTGATAATAATTTTAACAATTATAAACTATGAAAAATTAAGAAGAAGAGTTTTGGCATCTATATATAGCTGTTTCATATAATTTATAGGTAAGTTTAAAAAATTATCTCAGATAATCTATTACAAAAATCTTAAAAAATATTAAATTTAGAATCTAACAAAAATAGACATTATAAAACATAGACTATAGTAAGATACATTTTACAAATAAAATCCTAATATATTTGAATATAATAAGAATACAATTTTTTATTGCCTATGCTATTAAATAAGATAGCTATATAACATTGTTATGCAAAATCAGAAATAGAAGGTTATATTGTAATTCACAGTTTATTTATTAGTATTTATCAAATAAAAAATCCAATTATTAAATTTAAAATTTCAATATTATTAGATAAGGTTAAACCAATTTAATTTAGTTTAAATTACTCTGTTTTGCTATTCTTTTAGTAAAAAAAATTTAGAATATATATGACTTTCTAAAAAATTCTAAAAAAAATTAAATAAATATAGAAGATGAGCAAAGTTAAGTGAATCTTTTTTTTTAGTTGAAAAAAAATTTGATAAATTTTTTATATAAGCAATTATTTAATTCTTTTTAAAAAAAAATGTAATCTAATAATTTAAATTGATCTTGTCTAACTTGTTAGACATGTATGTAATAGATTATAATTATGCTATCTTTTTATATTTTATTATTATCTTTTTCATATTATATTTTTATATTTTTTATCTGATTATTTATATTTAACTTAATTAGTTTAGTATCTCAAATATAATAATATGACAGATGATTATTATGGGTGTATAGTAAATTGATACTGTACAAAAACACAAATTAGAACAGTTATGTAAAAATCATAATAGTATGTATAGTTTTTAAAAGAAAAAATTCTTTTGAAACAAAGCTAACTTTCTATAATTGTAATAAAAAAAGAATAATGCTCATATTTGCCCTAACTGTAAACATCAAAAAAATGTTTATTTGTAAAAAATTAAGTTTTTTTTCATTTGGTATAAAGATATGATGAATTGATAATTTTAAAGTTAATATTAAATTAGGGTTAGATTGGATTAAAAAAGATTTAGAATTAAAAGTATTATCAAAATTATGAGAGAAATTTTCTTGATAGAGTACAAAAAATAATTTTATAAATGACATTTTAAGATAGAAAGTTAATTTTGTTGATCATGATCAACAAAACCTGATACAGATTTCTTACTTGTTAATAAATTATTATTGTGAAGAGCAAATATTATATTACAGATTCAGAACAGAAGGAATCATTGATGTTATACAACTGATTCTTCACCCAAAATGTAATATAAAAACATCATTTTACAATACCAGATCATTTTGTTAGTTCATGTTATGATTATAATCCCACACTATTTTTATTATAATAAAATAATATGAAATTATAATCATAACATGTACTAGCAGAATAATCTGGTATTATAAAATGATTTTTTTATATATTGCACACTGAGTAAAGAATCAATTACATAACATTGACAGTTTCTCCTGTTCAAATTCAGTTCATGCTATAACTGTGTTCATGATATAAGTAGTAACCAACTGCATCAAAAAAAGTAATATTAATTTGAACACCATTTTGATAGACCTCTCAATATAGCTATCAATAACAAGAGATCAACCTGTATGAGGTATCATCAAATTGAAGTAAGTTGAATGATTATTATATTGCAGAAACCATACACAAATATAACAAATATTCATGACCAATATAATTGGATTAAAAGCAACCAATAATTTCATAACAAATTATTATATTATCAATGATTACTTAAACATCGTCCAACAGTTTCTTTATTAATTATGACGCAAGATAGTTTTTGTTTTGTCTCTCATTTGCTTGTGATTTACATGGAAAAACAAACGGGTTTATTCCTTCTGCAATCGAGCATCCTACACAACTTTTATAGTATCAATTTCTTCCTTCTTTCCCCTTTATTATTATTATTTTCTACTACTTAGCAGACTAATACAAGTCCTAAAATGACTGTCGTCCCGACAGGTCATAACTAGCAAATGATAATACCTTGTAAACGGTCATCTCAACCAATAATAAAAACATCTCATGACTGTCGTCACAACAGGCCATCCATTAGCAAATCCTTTTGCCCAATATAAACAAAGTTAATAATCCTTCTAAAGATTCTAGGGTGGGAGAAAGGGACCAAAAAACCAGACTAAAGTCGGGTTCGCAAAAGAAATAGATTTATCTCTAACTCTGTTCATTACAATACTTAAATACTCAAATCAATTAGACTCAAATACGTCAATATTACTGACTGATTTACTAATCGTAATTATTACCTCATAATTCCCCAAGTCTATTTTATTACCAATACTAACATTATAATAACACGTCATTACAAAATTACCCATGTGACTGTAATAGGGCATGTCACATGCCTGGATACGAGCTGATTCGAGACAAAAGCTGCCTCGATACTATCGTATCGAGCAGCCTTATATTTAAAATAATAAGAAACTTATTACGCATAAGTAATACAAACGCGGCTTAGTTAAATTTTATACAATGAACGTGTTTGATCTGTTTAACACAATTTTTATAAAATGGTTAACCAAATAAAATCACCACAAGTCTGCGTGCCAGATAAACAAGACATAAATCAGGATTCCGCACCATTTAGAACCATACCCAATCAGAAGCCGTTCCTGGTATATTCGGACGTGTAAAATCACATGATTTAGCACGTGCCCGTAGACTGTCCGCGACCCTTGGTGTTTTTGCTCGTGTGGATAAAATACAAAAAAGGCGTAATTATATTTTTGGTAGGGCTAAACACTATTTAATAGTGATGCACATCAATAAGTATAATAACACTGATGTGAGTCTCATCTAGAGATGGGAAAATCGAGGATTCTTTGAATCCACTGCGCAAGCTGCACAGACTGCACAAGCCCGTATTACGGCTAATGCGGGCCAGAATTGCTAAATTCTGATACATTCCGCAAAATTCCGAACTTACGAAACATTCCGCCTGCGCAGCGTCCCATCTCTAGTCTCATCCTATTATAAAATCTTTTAATGTGACTAAAAATAACTCAAATTATGATATTTAACCTACGATATATAAAATTACTACCGTTACCTCGTGCCGGAGGCAAAGACTAAAGCTAGTATACAATAAGCATTAGTAAAAATCTATTTTTATTATACTATATAGCGCTGCATATAATACCCCCGGAAAAGTACCCAGTATCTGGGTACTAATCAATTGTAAAATTGAAATCTTTTGTAAAATATCTCAATACTAATGACATAAAAATTCGATATATTGACATATATATATATTATAATTTCACTCTCATCTATGTATAGACTCTCACTTATATTTTTGATCCGCAATAATGGCAAAATTTTTTGGATTGTTACATATAAACAAAAATGCATTATCGATAAAAAACATTCAAAGTTAAAAATCAAAAAAAGAAATTTCAATGAGTACAAAACTACAAGGTTATGTAGAAATATGTACGAGGTTTTGATTCGGAATATCATATGATTGTCCGGCAACAGGAGCATTGAACGATTTGTTTTAATATAATTCTTGGCAAACTTTATTAAATAACATAATTACTAATTAGCATATATTAATTTTTGTGTAACTGATAGCTCTCAACAAACTTAAATCGCGTAAATTCTGTGTCCTTGACCGGGGAAGAAGCAAGCTGGATGAAATAAGGATATATTTCGAAATCGCTTGCTTCTTTTGAATTAAAACTTTTTTTAATGTTAATATTCACACATAAATTCGCCTTTGTTACATAATTATTAGTCCAGGTATGATATTAATATTTACTTTTTCTATAAAAGAAGTTGTGAATTAGAATTAGCAAATCAGCAAAACTTTTTAATGTTGGCACAAGTTAAATATAGAGAAGTAAAATAAAAACTTAATTGTTATTAATGTGTTTGGAAATTCTTATCCCGGTACACAACATGATACGTACGTACGTACATTACCCATTTTCGGTGTACATATAAGAGCGCCAAAATTGATTTTGAAAGATAACCAAAGATGAGCCAATCTACTCAAAAAACTCCAAAGTTATCTTTGAAACAAACTTTTATACGAATAATCGGTTCTTCATTGCTTAATCGATTGGTGTTTCTCTCTACTTTAGTACTTGTTCCTGTAGGATATATAGTGTTCTTTCTTAGTTCGAATTCAATATTAGTTTTTGTAATAAATTCATTAGCAATTATATCATCAGCTAAATTGCTGACGTTTGCGAGTAATGGAATTTCGTACCAATTGGTGAGACATTGTTAATTAAATGACATTATAATCATTACAATAATTATTCTAATCCTAATATTTTTAATAAAGTTTAGAAATTACCAAAATGTAATACATAGTAATTTGCTTGAATTTAATTTTGTGGAATTAATAATAACTATAAATGCATTGAAGGAAGGTCAAATTCTCGTTGTTCAAGCAGCAGTGATAGGGTCTATATGCTCTCAGATTCTACTTGTATTTGGATTTTGTATTTTGGTTGGAGGTATTAATATTCTTGGAAAAAAATACATTGAAAAAAGACATACTGAAAAAAAACAGCCTGAACTTGAAATCGAGTTTAGCTCAGTAATAGCGCAAATGGGTTCTAGTGTATTGACATTGGCGTGTAGTACTCTAGTTTTATCTGCTGCTTTTAGTCTTTTTGCCGCTAAAACTTCTAGCAATATTATCGGTAAAATTGATTATACGATCTTGCACATAAGTTATGGAGCTTCAATAATTTTATTAGTTGTATATTTACTCTATTTAATTCTTAAGGTAACATAGGTATTCATTTAATCTACGATATAATTTGCATTCACATGTTTTTATAATTGATATATATATATATATATAGTTAATAACTCATAGGAAACTATATAAAGATCCATTTAAAAGAGACAAAACAGAAGACGAAAAAAAAGGCGAAAAAAAAGACGAAGAAGCTAGTGTGCAACAAAATGAAAAAAACAGATCCGAAATAAACGATGAAAACGGAGGGAACAGAACTAACGGAAAAGAATTTATAAGTCTTGGAGCATCATTAGTTTTGCTAGCTATAATGATAGTGATTATTGTTTTTTCAGCAAAGTATCTTGTAAAATCAATCGAAGGAATTGTGGCACTTCATGGCATAAGTAAAACATTCATTGGTTTGGTCTTACTACCGATAGTTGGTCACGGTGCTAAGGTATTGAAATGTTAAATTTGTCATAGAATGTTACTCTTTTCATAAGTATTCACACGTCTAATTGTAATAGTATGCACTCTTTGATGATAATACTCAATCTGATGATAATTCTAAAATTAAAATACAACAAGCTATTATAATTTCTTTTGAAAGTTCAATTGTAAGTTGTATGACAATATAACAATTATATTTTATGTTGGATTTTTTTTGATTTTTTTTTTTTTGTTACATTTTCGCATAATAGCAAACCGCGTTATTGATTATTCCAATCTTAGTGATTGTGGGATGGATTATTAATCAGCCTATGTCTTTGTCTTTTTCACCATTTGAAACCATTTGCTTATTTATTGCAATTTTGCTCAATAATTACTTAGTTCAAGTAAGTTTTCTTTAGAATGTTCCTTTTTTTTAAAAAAAAAAACTTAAAATTAATGATTGAAATCATCCTATTCAAAATATTCCTCAAAATAGGGTAAGTATTGTTTCATTATATTGTTAATACAGACTTTATATTTCATTTTTATTGATAATTATATTTTTAGATGGGAAATCAAACTGGTTGGAAGGCGCATTGTTATTAGCTACTTACCTGATAATGGCCGTGGCATTTTTTTATTATCCGGATCCACCGGACCCATAATATACAATATCCTTCACATAAAAATATCTTATAAATCATACGTTTCATATAACTTTATCATAAGATAAAAAGTATATACTATTAGTATATTAAAGCGATAAGTTATATATATATAATTTACAGGAACATTTTAACTGATTGATATATCTCAATCTGGTGTTTTTAGATTTTAACATTGTATATACCATTTTATTCTTGTCATTGAGAGGAAATGAATTATATGTTAATTATTTAAAGCCTATCAATGAATCATGATATCTAAATTTGTTTCTAGGGATGTTTTCTATGAATCTTTAATCTCGGAATCACTAACAGTATATAACCAGTCTAAATTACATAATTATAAACTTTATTCAATAAAGTATATTTAATGATAGTCTGTCTGACAAAGATCCAATTTGATAGATATGCACATATTCCAGAGCACAACATTGTACACTTTTTGATATGCACTCAGGCGTTTACTAATTTCCCTCTATGTTTCGATTTTGGTCAATCAAAGAGCAAGATCAAATTTAATGTGACGTTCAAAACAACGACTGTTTTTTAGTAAATTCACATTTATCTTGAAAATTCGTCTAAGAAATCACCTTTTGCATAATAATAAAAAAAATTCTTTGTTTAATTTTACTATAATGCTGCCCACTAAACCTAACCCAAATTCTAACTGAGATGTCATATTTTCAACTGAATGTGACATGTAAATTGGAATAAATAATCCCAGCCAATAGAACTTTGGGGAAAATTACTAAGTCCTGCATTCGGTATGCATTTGATATGCATATAAGAACGCAAAAATCAAATTTAAAAAAATAATTAAGATGAGTCAATCCACTCAAGAAACTCAAAAACCCCCATCTTTGAAACAAACTCTAAGAATAATCGTCCATTCTTCACGGCTTAATCTATGTCTGTTTCTCGTTCCTGTAGGATATATAGTGTTCTTTCTTAATTCGAATGCCATATTAGTTTTTATAATAAACTTCCTAGCAATTATACCATCAGCTAAATTGCTTAGGTTTTCGAGTAATGAACTTTCGTACAATATTGGTGAGGTATTGTTAATTAAATAATATTATGATCATTTATTTTCATTATTCTGATTTTCTTTTTTTAATAAGCCTCATGGAAGCATAGTGAATATTTCATTAAGCAATTTGGTAGAATTTATAATAACAATAAATGCATTGGTGAACGGTCAAATTCGTGTTGTCCAAGCAGCAATGTTGGGATCTATATTCTCTCAGATCCTACTTGTATTGGGATTTTGTTTCTTATTTGGAGGAATTAATGTTATTAGAGAAAGTAAAGGAATAATACTTGAACAAAGTTTTAGTTCAACAGTAGCACAAATGAGTTCTAGTGTGTTGACATTGGCGTGTAGTACTCTAATTTTATCTGCTGCGTTTAGTTTTTTTGCCACTACAACTTCTAGCAATCCTATCGGTAAAATTGATGATACAGTCTTGCATATAAGTTATGTAACTTCAATAGTGTTATTAGTTATATATGTACTCTATTTATTTTTTAAGGTAATATAAAATTCATTTATCTTCACCATACTTCTCATTCAAAAGTTTTTATAATTGATATATATATAATTGCAGTTAAAAACGCATAAGAAATTATTTATAAATTCATTCGAACTCGGAGAACAGAAAAATGAAGAAAACGGAGAACAGAAAAATGAAGAAAACGGAGAACAGAAAGTTGAAGAAAAACCACACATAAGCATCATAGCATCATTAGCTTTGCTAGTTGTAATGACAGCGATTATTGCTTTGTCAGCAAAGTTTCTTATAAAGTCAATCGAAGGACTTGTTACTTCTCTTGACATAAGTAGAAGTTTTATTGGGTTGATTTTATTACCAATAGTTGGCCATGGTGCTAAGGTATTAAATGTTAACTTTGTCATCAAATGTTATTCTTTTCATAAGTATTTACATGTTTAATTATAATAGTATATACTCTCTACTAAAGCTGCACGCAAAAATGAAATGAATAGAGCTATTATAATTTCTGTTGGAAGTTCGACTGTAAGCTGCATGATAATATAACAATTTTATTTAATGTTTGTTTTTTTTTCGTTTGAATTTTTTTACATTTTTTACAATAAATATAGCAAACCGCTTTACTTATTACCCCACTCTTGGTGATTGTGGGATGGATTATTAATCAGCCTATGTCTTTGTTTTTTTCATCATATGAAACCATTTGTTTATTTATTGCAGTTATACTCACGAATTACTTAGTTCAAGTAAGTTTTCTTTAAATGTTTCTTTTCTTTTTTTTTAAAAAAAAAAAACTTTAAAAATTAATATGATTAAACGGTCCTATTCGAATGTTCCTTTAACATAGGGTAAATATTGTTTCATTATATTGTTAATGCAGACTTTATATTTCATTTTTATCGATAAATTATATTTTTAGATGGTAAATCGAATTGGTTAGAAGGAGTATTGTTATTAGCAACTTACACGATAGTGGCCCTATCATTTTTCTATTATCCAGATCTTTAATATGATCATTAATAAACAAATTAATCTATCTAACTGTACAAAGAAATATTCTTATTGGCCAATCAGATATGAAATAACTTTACCATTCATTTATACAGAGAAACTTCTTAAAGGTACTCACGATAACTTTATCTTCTTAAATTTCCGGTCGAATGAGAACAGGCAACTTTGGCGTTAAAATTCACGATATAAGTACATCATGGATGAGGAACCAACCAACTAACTAAATAAATCTACTCATCTAAATTCTGAGCTAGCTTGACGCTGTAAAAGAGAAAACTTTTCCTAGGTTGCAACAATGTATACTATTGAAAATCAATTCACATTTAAAGGCTTACATATTCATAATATGCACGCCTTATTTCTAATTATATCTTCGTAAAATTTAAGCAAAGTTTCATATTCGTGCTATTCTTTACCAAATATTTTTTAAATTTGGAACATTTTTACAAAATAGAACAACTTGAAACAAAAAAAAACCATTAAATAAATAAGAGAGAATAAACAATTATCAATTGTCAATTTTACGAAATGATTTAGCTTATTCCTTCGATTCGAACTTTTAAAGAAATCAAACAAGTTTCCTTTATTCTAAACCAATATGTTATTATTTGTTTCTGTTGGAAATCCAGTACGCTTTTATAGTTTGAATGGTTGTTAAGGCATATAAATAATTTGGTAATTGTATAGTGCAGTTATAAAAACATTAACCTCTTTATACCCATATAGAGGTTATTTATATAATAAGTATTATAGTACGGCCACATTTTTGTTATAAAGTTACTTTTTTTTTTATTACGTCACTCATGCTTGTTGTTCTGTACGATGCATACGTCATATATACTTATACTATACTATACTACACTACACGAATTAAAAGGATTTAAAAAAAGCATAAACAGTATAGTTTATGATCAATGACCGCAGTACTATAATATCAATATAGCATGATAGTTCTGAGAATACATCATTATTCACTGATCAAAAAAATTGTCACTGTACCAATGTGATGTTATCTCATATTATCATACTATATTATATAAATACGAGAATATATTCTGAATATTTGTTAGTTTTTTTATATTGATCGATTGGTAAATTAAATAACAGATATAAATTAATAATCAACAATAAGTTAATCGTTAATAATGAATCGAAGTCAATTAGAATATTGAAGTATCATAAAACCGATGAAATAAAATAAACGAAATTAAACTTCAACTACTATTTAAGTAATCAAAGTCTAAGAAAACGCGGAAAGTCAGTCTATACTTTTTTCCCATATGAACTACTACGCGCCTTCCCTTTCATCTTATCTAATATTTTCTATTATTATATATCCCAACACATAACGCTGCTTCTTTGTACAGCTCACTCTCGTTATAGGAAGTTGTCGGGCTGCAAAAAAAATCTTCACTATAACTTATGAGAGAGAATACTATATCTACTTCACTAATATCGAGTTGAGTTTAATAATTCCGTAATCCAAAATTCTTCACTATATCGAATCTTCACTATATAGAAAGTTCACTACAACGAGAGTGAATTGTATTACAAGCAATGATGATCCGTGCTTGTTGCGAATATATTTATCAGATGCCGATCTAAGCTAGTGATGGATTACGAAATTCGACAATACGTATTCGTCAAAGTTAAAAATCCATTTATTGATCGAGATCAGGTTAATAAGTAAAACTCGTGATAATTTATGGTTATGATTCCTGTCGATTGTTATGCAAACTCAAGCTGATTAAAAAAAACCACAGTATTATAGCGGTTCCTGTTGCGCATTATACAATTTTTCTTTGATAAATAAAAGCTTAGTTTAAAATCGAATTATTTAAATTGTACAACATGGTTGCACAATTGAATTTTTAGCCAATGAAGGGGGAAGTCTAAAGCTGAGATAAATCATGTGACTATTTAGTGTTTGATTGGTTTATATAAATAGATTGATCTTCTGATTGGTTTTATGTCACGTATTTCTGTATTTATCCTCCAATAAAGGAATTTTAATCATGCTATTCGTCAACGACTTATAATTTCGTCACCTATAATCCAAGCCCCCAGATCATACGATATGTAACAGAAACCATGACGTTATTCAAGTTTCTACGTACATGATTTATTTCTGTTACTGTTACGTATTCAAGTTAAAATGTTTCACATATCCCATTTAGGTTATAATCCTTTTTAACGTTAAAACGTTTTTCCATTAACATTAAACCGTTAACATCAACCCTTTTTCAAAATGATAAAATTACCAACCGAATGTCTATTTGAAATACTCAACAATCTTCGCTTCAATCATGGAAATTTATTCTCATGCCTTCTTGTAAACCGTCAATGGTGTAGAATTATTATACCAATATTATGGAGCGAACCAAGATTCCAACATATAAAACTTATAAGAATATGTCTTTTAAAATTAAATGCTGAAGAACAATCTCTCTTAATCCCATTTAGAATTAACCTTCCAAGATTTTCAGAATTATTATTTGAATATACGAGTTTTATTACATCTGTTGACTACTATTTACATTATGGTGTCAAAAATTGGCTTAAGGATAATAATTGCAACTTAACTTTGACTGGTGAACTTGAGAATGTAAAGGCTGTTAAATGTTCTTTAATTGCAATGATTTTACGAACAAGTAAGAAAATTAAGCATCTGGAATTTGATCAACCTATTTACGACAACTTAATACTTAGAAATCTTCATGGAAATTCCATTACTTCTATCATTTTTTCTAATATTAATTCTAATATTCGTTCTGGCTCTGAAACGATGGAATCATTAATGGAGATTCTTTCCACAAGTATCACCTTAACTTCTTTAACTTTTCGTAATCGGTTGGATTTTTGTGGACTAAAGGCATTAGCAAAAGCTCTTTGCGTAAATACTACTTTAACTTCTTTAAGTATTTATGATTGTGATTTTGTCTTTGAAGGTGTAAAAGCATTAGCGGAGGCTCTTTACATTAACACTGCTTTAACTTCTTTAAATATTCATAATTGTACTATCTGCTTTGAAGGGGCAAATGTATTAGCAGATTCTCTAAGCGTAAACACTACTTTAACGTCTTTAAATCTTTCTCAAATTTATTCTTTGGGTGTGAAGGCATTTGAATCAATTCTGTGTACAAACAACACTTTAACTTCTTTATATCTCAATGAGGATCTACTTAGTGTTGAAGGTGGAAAAATATTAGCACAAGCACTTCGTGTAAATAATACTTTGACTTCTTTAAATATTGGTAATAATCAACTTGGTTCTGAGTGTGGAAAAGCATTTGCTGAGGCTCTTTGCATGAACTCTACTCTGATGTTTTTAGATATTTCGGATAATCAACTTGGTTCTGAAGGTGGAAAGGCATTTGCTAAAGCTCTTTGTAAGAACAGTGTTCTAACTTCTTTAAGCCTTTCAAATAATTTACTAGATTCTGAGTGTGGAAATGCATTAGCAGAGGCACTTTGCATAAATTCGACTCTAACTTCATTAGACCTTTCATATAACCATCTTAATTCCGACGTTGGAAAGGCTTTTGGAGAGACTCTTTATAAGAACGCTAGTCTGATTTCTTTAAATTTTGATTATAATTTCTTTGGAGAGGATGATGAAAATACATTAGCTAAAGCTCTTCATATAAACACCACTCTGACTTCTTTAGATTTTTCACATAATCTATTGAATTTTGAAGGAGGAAAAGCTTTTGCAGAGGCTCTTTGCGTAAACACAACTTTAAAATCTTTAAATCTTTCAGAAAATGTACTTGGTTCTGAAGGAGGAAAGGCACTTGCAAAAGCTCTTTGCAAGAACACTTCTTTGACTTCTTTAAGTCTTAATAATAATTATCTTTGTCCTGAAAGTGGAAATGCATTAGCCGAAGCCATTTGTACAAACACTACCTTGACTTTTTTGGATCTTTCATATAACAAAATTAAGCCAAACATATTTACTCTTTTTAGAAAATCATCTTTAGCCTGCTTAAGTCTTCACGAAAAGGCCTCACAAGCTTGCATAAATGGATTTCATCTCACGGATTGGGTTTATATAACATGGCCATTCTGGTTTCAAAAAAATTTAAGTCGTATTGTTATATGAAATGGTCATATTTATGGACAGTAAAACTTTTTTGAATATGCATAGAGATAAGTTACAGTTAAATAGCCACAAATTTGTTCTATTGTGTATTGAATATTTTTGAATATGCATAGAGATAAGTTACAGTTAAATAGCCACAAGTTTGTTCTATTGTGTATCGAATATTTTTGATTCTGTTTCATTAAAAATATGATTATATAAATCACCATCCAAATGTTATCTCTTGGCATTAAAAATTAAGCATCAATATTGAAATTCGATTTTTTAAAGTGTAAATTACTAGTTTTTAAAATACAAATATTAAATATTTGTCGTGGATAATGCTGTAATCGGATGATACTGGAATTTGGGGTCTCAATTTAAAATTATAACCCAACCAAACTCTATCTATGATCATTTATTAACAACTCTGACTATCCCTTACACCTTTTCGCAGGCAAATTTGCCTGCGAGTTGCATTTTCTCGGCAAATTATAATTTATGGGTGACTGGTATCATAAGAAGACTGAATCGGTTTGTCCGAAAGTCTTTAGAAAATTTTATTCTTTTTAGCTAACGTCCTTCTATCTTTTTATTTCTTGCTCACTTTTTTTGGGGTCCTTTAAAAATCTATTTCTTGTACTACCTCAAAATGTTCGACATGTCTAAATTTAATAATCTTTGGACTTTTGATATATGCATTTGTATTGCTGGCATAACTTCAGAATTGCGCAAGCAAACATGAAGATGATTGGGTATCTACGTACTGCTAATTCGGCTTACGAAGTAAAAGATAAATCCTAACCTTTAAAAAAAAGCTGGCAAAAAGACTCACAGAAAAATTTAAAAATTGTATATGTATTGACACAAATTTTAGCAGTTTATGATAATATTTAAAACAAAACTTCAAAGTCTA